CGCTCTTCCTAAGCCCTCTGCATGGTTCTGAAAGGTCAAATGAAAACTGCCTTCGTAGATAGCATAGGTGCAAAGCTTGATATCATCCTAACTTTCTGAATGCTCAGCGTTTCCTTCTTGAACAAAGAATGTTATATGTCTCACCTTATCTAAAAATATTATAGATATAATTAGAAGTTTTAGAATTGCCTGTGACTTTTAAGTTTAGTATTTTAACATTTATTGTATTTGCTTTGAGATAGAGAGGGAAGGGCACCCCAACAGCGTCTTCCATATCATATCAACGCTCAGCCTCAGTCAACCTGGGTCATAGGTATGCAAGCATGAGGCCTTGGGACATAAACCTAGGCCCCCCTAATGGGGACACAGCATCGCAGCGCATCACATCACTGCTGCAGCACCAGCTGGCCCCTTATGTTTACTGTTTTTATATGAAATATGTCTTCGGATAAACTTAGGGGGCCTGAAAACCTTCAATGACATCCTGGAACATGCAGGGTCTAATCTGAGCACTTCTTAGCCTGGCTTGAGAATGTGAATAAATTTATGATGTAGCATTTGGCAAATCTGTACTTGTAAAATGTACACTGGGTATTTTGCACTATCTATATTTTATTTTTAAATAGCATGCTGGAACAGAGAGGGATCTTAGAGGTCATCTTATTTTACAGAGATGGCAACCAAGGCCCAGTGAAGAGAAGAGAGTTGCTCAGGGTTACACGGCTTTGATTTCTCACTCATATGACACAAGGTACCAACGTTTCCGTAAGACAGAGAGGAATCATAACGTCTTCTTCAGAGATGAAATGGGAGGCTGTGGATGCATGCTGATGTGTGGTAGTTCCCATTAAAGATCAAATCAATTTCTCCCAGAAAGACCAGAAAAGCATGAAATGGGAACAAGAACACACATCTCCTTCCTGTGTAAACTCAAAAAAAGAAAAGTGCAGGGCACTGCATGGCAGATCAGGTTCACTTCCCTCAAGAATCCATAGATTCATAAAAATTCCTAATGCTGGGACTTGAATAATGCCAAGTACCATTTTCCTAATGAAAGTAGCCCTAGTATTCCAGAATATAATTCTGATTTTATACCGTGCATTCTGTACAGACCAAAGGAAGGCTTTATATGCCTGTTCCTTGGAACAAGTCACGTTTCCTTTCCCAACTTTATACCTTCCCTGTCCTAGCACTTCACCCCTGCGTGTGCCCCTCCCACAGCCCTGACAACGGTCACCCATTCCGATTTCCCAGCTGCCAAATCTAACAGGCTCTTGAACTTTCTGTTATGATTGATGTCTCTATTCCATTTGATGGTTCTCACCAACTCTCTTCCTGAAAACGCTCCTTTTAATTTCCAAGACCATGCTCTCTCTCCAGATTCTCCTACCGCTGTCAGACCCACTTGGTTCCTTTGCTGCTCCCGAGGGCGCTGCTTCTTCACCTGCTGGTGCCACACAGGGTTTGCCCTTGACCTGTTCTCCTCTCACCCTGATCCTGGTCCCTAAGTACTCTTGT